GGGCCGGCTAAAATGATTGGTCGTGCTTTTTACAGTATTACGGCTTCCACAGATGACATTTTTTAATGGATTTTTTGTCAAAGCACTTAAGATATTCATTGCTATCGAGATGTTAAGAGCATTCCATGGAATATAACAAAACGTGTATCTTGAGCCGGTTTATCAAACTTACCTACCCCATGATATTTTTGGTTTACTGTCCTGTAGTATACATTGGAATTATTTCAAACCTGTTTTTATTTATCTTAATAATTATAAAGGTGTGCCTTGGAAATATTTGTTTACATAAATGGTGACCAAACCGTTTGAGACCCACTGAGATAACTTAGACTAAAGTGAACTATCTAAACACTCAGAGTCCTTTACCTCACTGAGCTGTAGTTATCAGCCTCAATCCAACAACAATCCGCGGTATCGATGCGCGCCCTCTCTCTCTCTCTCTTGCTCGCTCGGAGGCTCGCTCGCAATTTGGCTGTGAGCTGCGGGCACCTGATAAGTCAACATCCCCCACTTTCATCACTTACAGCGCTCACCGTACAGGGCAAATTAAAAGTGTAACCGGGGTGAAAAGGGTGTTACCTTGACTTAATTATGAATGTTGTTACATCAAGGCTGAAAATTAGGATGAGCCAAACAGTCAAAAATGTTTTTTTCCCTCCCAGAACTACCAGCGCAGCGCCCCCCCCAGATCTGGCGCCCTAGGCGACCGCCTATGCCAAAGACCGGCCCTGAGTGTAGCTATAATACAAACCTGACATTCATTTCTGGTTATTTTATGTTTCATTAAAGGAACCTACCCAAAAGACAGTTAAAAAAGAGATTACAGCAGTTTGGGATATATTGGTTTTTCAATATTGTGTGGGGGGTTTTGTCCTCTCAGATCAAAACACATTCTTGCAAATGATTTTGTTTTTTAACATCAAAGCATGTTTTAACTAAGGTCAGAAAAGCTATATTATCATCATTATTTCAGTGGTCAAACTTTTGTGATAGAAGAAGTTGAAAGCTGAGACCAAGAAGTTGCACATTAATGTGGAATGATAAAAAGATATCAGATCAGACTCCGTCTATATTCAGTACTTTTTTTTCACTGTTAAATTTGCTTGGCCAAAATCTTTTACATATTTATCAAATTCGAGATGTGAATTTAACACAATATAGATATTTTCTACTTGTTATACCTATTTAGTATAAATAGATTAACCTTTAAGCTTGATCTAATTAATCACATGCTTGCCGGTCCTTTATGAAAGCATATAGACACTGTAACATTTGATGTCTAAAGCTGAGGATGCTAGTTGCTAAGTAAAGATACGGTAAGATACAGGAGGATGGGAAAGTAATGTCCACACCTGCAGGAGGACTCTAACTCTAACTTTATCACAGTGGCATCCTGTTCGGTCAAATGGCAGTTAGCAGCATTTGTCAGCTCCGTCTGGAATAAGAAATTGATGTATGAGTTTTTAAAGAGACAACTACTACAAACTCTGCAGAGTCTAAAGCATCTACAGTATAGCTGAACTTTGGGAGCATATATCAACAAAACTATAAAACTGTCAGGGTAAACAGTCTGAAAACTCAAGTCCCACTTCAGGACCAACTCTCAGTTAAAACATTGCCTAATTGGTCTGTTGTAAAGGATGAAGCTTCACAATGACAGAGCTGAGTGTTCAGTGCACAGCAGGTGAACACTTTCAGCACCACCGAGCATCATGCCAACAACCCACATTTTTCACTCGTACTCTTCCCTGATTGGCTGGTTGATTGATCGGCTGTCAGGGTGACTGATGGTCTCGGTGCTCATATCCAACACATCCAAGGTAACGCACTGATGCGACGCCCGAAAGCTCCCCAATCAGCATTTCTCAGTGAGCAGAGCGAGAAGGAGAGCGCTGTGTTCATCTATCATTCTGATAGTAACTGGTACAGCGCAGTTGACCCCATTCAAAACCGTCTATTAGTGAAACTGAACTGTCCCCACACACAACTGATGTGGAGTTCCTCTGACCTTCTCATGTAGGCTAATATAACTCCATAATAACATAGATAACATGTGATTGGTTCACAAAGGTTGAAATGACATGGATCATAACTATCACTACCTCTATTGTTACAGCAGCTATGTTTTATGCATTTTCGTTGGAGAAATAACACTTTTAAGTAGACATATTCTGAAATATAAAACTAGGCTGTAATTAGAAGCCTCAATGCGGCCATATGGAGATTGCTGTTTATGCTCAGATTTAGTCGAGTTTCCTAAAGATGTCTCCTCCTGAGTGAGTTTCTAATGTTCACTGATCTGTTCATCAATCTTATAATCTAATAGTAGCCATTATTATTTTTAGCCAATTTGAGGCATCAATGAACTTCAGGATCCAGAGTTCAATCCTTTAACCTGAGCCAGCTCACAGCAGGAGAAGCTACGGTGAATTTGGAGAGAATCAGGAGGTGCTGGAAGCCTGACAGCGTGACTACGGATGGTTTATTTCAGTGGTTCTTAACGGGTGGGTCGCGACCCAAAAGTGGGTCGCAGACCCGTTTCGAGTGGGTCGCAGATGTGTGAGTGAAGAAAAAAAGTGAAACTTTTATTTTGAAGGCCCGATTTTCTAACGCTGTGCATGCAGTAGGCGTTGGACTGGAAGTACTGGAGACCATAAACGGTTTTGAAAACTTCTGTCACGTAGTGATCATCTTCTCACATCTTTGCTGATGTTTTTTCGAGTCTTCTGGCCAATCAGAATCAAGATTGTTGCCGGAAGTCCCCACGGAGAATAACTTTGAACTAGGGGGTACAACTCTAAACACCCATATGAAAAAGATCGGTTTACATTTTATTAATCAAATAAGTATGTGCACATAACCAATAACCTACCATAGCCAATAACAAATAAATGAAACTTATTTTATTTTTGTGGTTCATTTATATCTTATTTTAGCTAGTTAACATTCATGGAAATATTTGTTTACATAAATTGTGACCAAACCGTTTGGTGACCCACTGAGATAACTTAGACTAAAGTGAACTATCTAAACACTCAGAGTCCTTTACCTCACTGAGCTGTAGTTATCAGCCTCAATCCAACAACAATCCGCGGTACCGATGCGCGCCCTCTCTCTCTCTCTCTTGCTTGCTCGGAGACTCGCTCGCACTTTGGCTGTGAGCTGCGGGCGCCTGATAAGTCAACATTCCCCACTTTCATCACTTACAGCGCCTATCGTACAGGGCAAATTAAAAAGTGTAACCGGGGTGAATACTTTCAGGGCCGGCCCTTGGCATAGGCAGTATCGGCGAATGCTAAGGGCGCATCAACCCATCGGGGGCCCCGAAAATTGGGGGGGAAAAAAAAGTTAGAAATTAAAAAAAAAATGTTTTTGAAATTTCATGACAACACAATTTCCCGATTTTGGATCAACAAAGTACATCTTATTATCTTATACTAACAGAACTACGCCTATATTGCGTACAGTGCCCATAAACTATGGCGCACCCCCCCCCCCCCCAAAATCAAGTTGAACTGCCCCAGCCCCAGTAAAAACCAGAGGTTTATGTGAAATTGTGCTTTTTTTGAAATAATGGTTTTAGTGTGCAATTATAGGTTTTCATTTTGTATTTGTGTAAAAACGTATCCAGCTTCTGTGTGCTTTTATTAACATTGGAATTTACTGTGTAAGCGGCCGCGGGGGGGGAGAACTTTAGAGAGCTCTCTCCTGAAAGACTGAGCGACTCTGATAACCTCAGCTCAGTGAGGTAAAGGCACACCTTTATATGATCATTATAGTTATGAAACAATAAGAGAATACATGAAAAACAGTTATGAAATACTATATGACAGTAAAAAAAAAAAAAGTTTAAAAGGGGAGTGATTTGTAAAATATCCATAAAGAAAAAGTCATCTGCTTAGAGTTCTATTTCATATTGATGTTGAGAGATGTATCCATAGATCTCCTAATGTTGCTCTCAAAGTGCACCAGATTGATGCTTTTAACTTCAATATTAAAAAAAAAAATCTTCCCGGGGGAGCATGTCCCCCGGACCCCCCTAGAGGAGGTTAGGTCCCGCCCCCCACTTAAATCATGTCCACATGGATAGGATACTAAATACATTTGCACACATCTTGTGTCCATATCTTTCTGTTTTGGTGGTCATGCCACAACCGTGCACGTGCATGCATGTGCGAGTCATAGTGAGTGTCTGCATTTTGGGGGGGGGGGCGCCAGCTAAAATCTTGTCTAGGGCAGCAAATTGGTCAGGGCCGGCCCTGGTGAAAAGGGTGTTACCTTGACTTAATTATGAAGTTGTTACATCAAGGCTGTAAATGAGATCTGGTGCCCTAGGCGACCGCCTATGCCAAAAACCGGCCCTGGACCAGCAAGTGACCAAAACACAACATATGCTGGTTTTGCTGGTCAACTATGCTGGTCTATGCTGGTCAACACCATGCTGGTATATGCTGTTTTTTTCAGCAGGGTATCTATCTATAACCAGCTTATATTAGTATTAAATATACAATGTATTCTGGTAACTATCAAAATAAAGACATTGTATAGTGTTCATAACAGTATTTTTATTTCATAAATTATACATTAACAATACAATAATATTACAAAAAAACTTGAATATATTTCGATGCCAATAGGCCTACTTGTTACTCTTCATTGAGTACACTTTTAAATGAACTACTTGTAGGCTACATGTGTCACTGAGTATTTTTGCACTATAGTGTATGTTCAAATGTCTAAAGTAAATAATAAGTACTTCTTCCACGGCTGGATATATATCTTTCTACTTGAAAAAAAAAGAAATCTCATATGCAATGCCTTGTGGACATGCTGCTGTAAAAAAGGATTCCCAAATGTGGTTCCATAGAGTAAATCTAACCTTATCTCATCTTTACGCCGAGGCTTTTTACTGAGCATTACGGTAGTGGGCGGGGCGTGTTGGAGCGTGGTTGTCCGGGGGCGTGGTCTGTTTTGTGTATGTTCTGTCGGCTCCGCGCTCGGTCCAGCGTCGCAGACTCGTCCGGCGGCAGAGAGAGGGGCGGTGAGCCGCATCAGCGCTGCCGCTGCGTACGAAGCAATCCCTCCCCCACCCTTGTTATAACACACACTGCCGGCGGTCCGGCTGGATTTACTGGGGCGTCTGCTGCAGCTGGAGGAGGCGGACTACAGCTGCGGCAAGGCTCAGAGACTCGTCCGAGCCCCGGGACCCGCCCGCCCTGCCGCAGCCTCCAACAGCTGGAGCTCAGCGACAGACAGCTGGCATCCAGGTAACGTGGGGGACTAAAGCGTTTCAGTAGCTGAGGGGGACAGCGGGGTCTAATCTGCGGCGCTCAGTGCGGCTCCATCATGCTGAGCAGATGCGGATGGATGTTCTTCATTCACTGAACGGTTAGTTTCCTGTCATGCTACTGTCACACCAGTCAGCTGTGAGCTTTTTCTCACTCTAAGTTATTATGAATTGACTGCTTTATTATAGTCTTTTTTTTAAATTGTAAAATAATATATTTCTTTAAAAACCCTGAGGAGAATGTTGCTGTGGTAACGAATTCCTAATATATGTATTAGATTTAGGGTAATGCCAGACTCAAAAATAAAACAAGGTCGATATATAGAAAATAAATCAGCAAACATTTTACAGATTATTTGTCAACAAAAGTTGTAATAGCAGAAATGCTACTGGCTAAACTTCTTGTCTTTAGGTTTTTAAAACCAACACATTAACTCTTTATCTAGACCAAACAATTGATTGACAAACGGAGAATTTTCTTTTCTTATTTGATTTGCATTAAATTATTTTAAGTCTTTTGGTTCAAATAAATACCAGACTGACCTCAGTCAGTGCATTGTAAAGCAAACACACACACACACACACACACAAAAACTTGACTTTTCCTGCAGGTTTTTCACATCTTTTATTTAAAAGATGTTGCAAACAAATTGTTCAAATGACTGGTAATCACATAACCACAGATAGTTCTTCCTCATCCTGATTTTACAACATAACTCACCTCCTCTTTGTCCCTTGCGAGGCAGCTGGAAAGGCAAAACTGTGATACAGTGAGATCAAGCAGAAACAGCTTCAGTGGTAAAAGGTTTCTAAAGAGTGTCTGCAGGTGGACACATTATACTGTTGCAGGGTATCGATAGCGAAAATTAGTTAGTTTGAACCAAGTTCATTGCAACCTTATTATACTTATGTAGTATTTCCGGTCACTTTATCTTCCTATAATAATATTCCTCACCTGAAAATAACTTGAGTGTAATGTTTTCTCCGGGGACAGTTTGAGTGTTGTTGATGCTCGGATCGATCGGCCGCCGATCCTGCAGCTCCACCCGCTGTGACGGACCGGTGAGCGGAGCAAAACACACACTAAGAGTTAGACCTAACACACGTAGCTATTTTATCTACCTCTGGAACAAGCTAAACTAGTTATAAATATATTTATTCTTCACTGTCGGGTCACTCATTACTGGATCAGCGAGCTGCATGAGATACTGACGGGCTGTCAGGAGAGAGAGAGAGAGGAAAAGAGAGCGCTTCCGCTAATTTCTCCCGTGTTATTATCCAAAGTTAAATGGAAGATCCCCATAGCCCCCACCCACTCGATCGGATCGGCGATCGGTATCGGCCGATATTGGCGATTGGAGCATCCCTATTTGAACTGCAGCTCTCTGTTATCTCAGCAGACATAAAGGAACCTGCTTAGATCCTGGTACGTGAGTTAGATGCCGTCAGAAGCGTTAGTAATCCACATGTCATTAACCTTTGAGGAAGATGAGGACAATGCATGCATGATGGTTATGGTCATACTCATTCCATAGTTCTAGCTACTGTACGATGAAGATATTATCAATTTCAAAAACATAAAAGGTGTGTGTCTGCTGTGTAGGCCTTATCCTTAACCTGTTAAGCCCGAGAGACCCCGGTACCGGGGCACTGCCGCAACATCTTGCAGGAAACAGTGTCTGAGGGCATGTTCATTTAATAAACTATGAATGTTTTATATCCATGTAACGGGAAGAAACTCATCTAACTGATCATTTTTTTTTTTTTTTTCAAAAGAAAACCCACAATGCTAACACTGAGCCTCTGAATTAGCAACGAGCGAAAAATGCTAACAGATTACTGCACCGAAAATCACTCACAAAACCTTATTATTTATCTTTTCTCCACATCCATGACATCGATTCACATCGTGAGGTGACACAGAATCGAGGGGTACCCTCATTATCACTCAATTATACGAATTTGCGACGTTATAAACAAAAACAGACATCAAAACAGGTGACGCTAGGTAGCTAAAAATGCTAACATTTTTACCTTGGCTCTGTAGTCTCTCCAAAGTGGTCTTCAATGGCATTCAAACGATAAAAACGCTGCTGAAGTTAATCCATAGGTTAATCCAATGTGTCTGTGTCCCTTTGAAATGATTTCTGATAATTCATGAGCAAACAGACGGATAATCCATGCTATTCCGTTTCTAGATGTCAGAGCTAGACTGTAGCTTCACTCTAATGCAAAATTACATGCGCAAAGCCCCCACCTTTTTGTTTCACAATGAGTGTGTGTGGGGGACTCCCCCTTCGATTATATTGGCTCTAACGGTCAGAAAGAGGTGTCAACCATCAAAATCGACCAATGGGTTCCAGAGATATGAAAAAAAAACAATTTCCACCCAAATCACCTCAGAGGTGGAGTGTTTTTTGCTAAATCTCTCTAAAAAGGTCAAATGTCACTTGTTTTGCATCAGTCTTGATACAGGGTACTTATTATATGTTGTACTTTGGATTCCTAAAGCTTTTAGTCTACCTTACCATCATCCAAGGGTAATTTTCACTATAAGTAAAAAATTATCTTTGGACGGACACTATAATTTACAGTTTTTTACTATGTTCAATCTGAATTTTCTTTAAAATAAAAAACATCTATATTGATTCTGACTTTTCTACATCCAACTCACAGGTTTATCATTACTTTGAGAAAAACGATTATTAATTTAACCCTTTTAGAAGGGAAGATATGGTCATTTGTTCTGGGAATGTCATTTCCGAGCCTGAGACCTGAAAAACAGGCTCAGGGCTTAACAGGTTAAAGATCTATAACTGTCAACTCTGTTGCCTTTGCTATGTCATTTGAGGACACACACACACAAACACCCACGATACCACTGAGCAATCCTCCTCTGCTAATGGATGAGTTGTCACAGTTAGCATGTGTGTGTAATTAGTTCTTCAGGGCTAATGATGCACACACAACATTCACCAGTGTATTGTGATGTTCCCGCATGCTCTAACAATATTTGTATTCAGATGAATGAGGAGAGAGGGGATACAGTAGGGGGAAAGAAGGTATAGAGAGAAGGCGAAAAGAAAAGGATGAAGTGTGGGGGGGGGCTTCTCTCCAGTGTTTTTCCTGCTCTAATTTGCTTTGACAGCTGCTCCATTGGCTCAGGCTGTGAACGCTGTGTTGGAGGGAGAGAGAGACTAAGTATTTCTGCTCTCTCTCTAACATGGTTTAATTGGCGAGGCTACAGTAACAGTCAGTGCTGTAGTGTCGCTGCACACTCTCTGTAGCTCAGGCTTCCTGCTACTTATCCAATAAAAAAAAAAACTGAAACATATTTACTGTGAGGATAATAAGGGCAGCGAGGGCACAGTATATACATTCAGAGTTGCTTTTAACCAAAGGAAATGTAAGAGTTATGATTGGAGCATAAATCTGATTAGATATCTCTAAATTCTTTAAATCTATACACTGCAGAAATGTGCTGCAGATTTATGTTTCATATCTTTTGAAACGCACATTTGGGTAAAAATCTCCCAAACTCATGTCGTTTTTTTTTTTTATATATATTTTTTAAATACAAAACAACAGAGCTTATAAACAACATACATGGCCAGGGACGTGCAGAGACATTTTGGGGGGCGGGTGCTCAATTGAGAAAAAGGGCACTTCCCATAATGATTTATAAACATTTTTTTAAAAACAAAACGTTAAATATAGTTGCACATCTCTGACTTACTGACCAATTTATTTTTAATACCCTCACACTCACGTAATTGTTTAATACTCAGCAGAATTCTACAAAATAATCAGCTAACACAGAGACAGTGGTCTTATTTAGTATTCACTACGCACAAGATGAGACAACAAACTAGTACAATTAATAGTAATGAGCAGCCAACAATCAAAATTATGAAGTTACTGTTTAAGGGCATTACAGGCAAAAATATCCTTTTTTCATGTAGGCCCTACTTGTTATTTTGGTCTATTTTGCTTCCATGTTTTCTTTCACTCTAATGGAAAGAAAACTTCCAAGAAACACATATAAATGGTGTTCGTTTTACTACCATGTCTGATTTCATCTATAGATTTAAAGCTAATCTGCATTTAAATTGAACATTTCAGGGGAAAATACTGACTTGACGTAAGTAACTATCTGGGGAAGTTGTGAGGTGATGTGTTTTTTTGTTTTATCCTTTTCACCTGCAATGCCTTGGTAACTGCATGCAAATTAGTGCATTAAGCCTATAGTTAACGCCTAATTTGCATATCAATGTGGCGATTGTGATGACGTTATTAGATACACATTTAACTGTATTCACTTTAAGTGTCTCCCCTTAAGTACAGTACATTAGCCTGTATGCCCATGATAAATTGCCTTAGCTAAACCTTGAGCTAACTTATCCATTAGCTAGTAGCCTACCTAGTTAACTATATTTGTTATTGTCTTTTAACTAATTAGCTGTAAACTCGAGGCACCGGCAGCTTAGTCATTTGTTCATCACCACTCACCTTCAAAATAAGCCAAGAAAAGCCGGCATAACATGGGACAGTAAAGTGGGAGGTGCTGCTACCTGTCCGTCTGAAGGGACTGCCGATGTCCGCACCGCTGTGCAGGAGACGTGGAGGGAGGGAGGGAGAGCTACAGAACTTCACAGTCTAATCTCCCGACCTGATATTTTGTATTCAATCAATATATTTTGGGAAAGGGAAACTGTGCGCAAACAGCAGTAGATATATATTCATTTATAAAAAATTAAAAAAAGGGGGGAAAAAGGGCACTTTCTCTGGAGGAAGAAAAAGGGCAGGGGCTCAAGCCCACTTTGATGTCTATGTGTGCACGTGTACATGGCCATCCACTGTCCAACATTTCATGGAGCTTAACTTACATGACTAATATGATATCCTCAATGATTCTTATTGTCAACAAATCTATCTCACGGGCACACAATGTCACACAGAGCGTGTGTGAGTGTGGAGAAGAAGAAGAAGACAACATACTTTATTAATCCCTCACAGGGGAATTTCTTTCTCCACTCTGTTGTGTTTACACACATTACACACACAGGGAGGATATACATGCACACACACAACCACATGCAGA